GGATCGGTCCATCTCTAGTATCCAGAAAACACATTATATGCTGCAATAAATGCAGTGCCCAAGTGTCCCCTCTCCCCACTGCCTTTCAGCAGCATGCAACAGCAAACAGGTCATCAGAGGAGGCCAAGATGATGATTAAGTTTAACATTGTCTACAATATTGCCAAAGCACTTTAAGTACAAGATTGTTAGTTAATAATTCACAAATGAATATTGTCTGTATGGACTGCAATTTCCCCTCCAAAAAGTGCACATGTAAAACTGCGGTTTTAAGCGATGCGGTTGAAATATTTGAGTGCGCCTAACTTTTGTGCCGGTGCGCCTAACTCGCACAGTTGATGTGAGTTTCTACTCAGGGTTTTTTCTTCCAGTACAGAGCAGAAATGTTTTTGTTAAGATACTGGATACTTTGTGTTTTTCTCCACAATTTTAATTATAAGCTAGATATATTTCTACTAATGAAATTAGTTTGCTAACACCAACAGGGATGAGTCAGCGAGTCAGTTGGGCTTGTGAATCATGATTCATGAGTCAGTAAAGTGATTCTCGAGTATTGAACGATTCGTTCATGATTCGCGCATCACTATCGCTGACCTATGGACATCATGCCAGCTAAAAAGGATAAAAATAGAATGCCGATAAGAGACCTCCAAAGCTCAGTTTGCAACTTCGAAGCCAGGTCAGTCTGAAGGCTAACCTTGAAGCTAATGATGGAAGCATGGCTGAAGCTAACCCAAGCTACCCCTTCGATTATGACATCTTAACTGCAAAAATAACAGATGTGGTTGGTACGATTATAGAAGGGAAGATGGATGTTATCAACAGCAAACTTGATGCTATTCAGGCAACTCTTGATGGCAACACGAGATGCCTTGATGAAGCAGAGACCTGCCTCGAATGCGGAGGATATAATAGCCGACATGGAAGTTAGGCTTACTCGTGTAGAAAGTAAGATTTGCATGCTCTCAAACCGGCTGGATGATCAAGAAGCTCAGAGTAGAAGATATAATCTCCGCATATTTAGTGTCAAGGAAGGGGTGGAAAAGACGAATGCTATTACATATTTTGAAACGTGGCTTCCCTCTCTTCTCAAAATGAAGAGAAAATGCACCTTAGAACACACATGCATCAACACTACATATGAGCGGGCGGAGGGACGTTTGGAGTCTTTCTTATAAGTTAATTTATGAGGCTGATACTTTTACTGTTGCTACCACTCTACATGATTTAAATAACCAGATCCTGCAATGAGTGATTTAAAGTATGTCTCTCTGAATGTAAAAGGGATAAACAATGTTAAAGTAGTGTCTGATGCCTCTGTTTTACCAGATTAAGTTTTGATAATACATGAGAAACCAGTGCTGCTCAATTTGCCATCATGTGCAGTAGCCTTTCAAAAGCATTCCTATGCCTATGAGTTGACAAAGGACAAAACAAGATTTAGTTGTCTTTAATGTTGACAACCTGATGATGATGAACTGAATATGATGAATATAAAAAATTACACTACAGCGAAATAGAAGTGAAATATTATTACACATTAGTGTGTTATTATTAAACTGCATTTGTAGTAAAAAAAAAAAGCTGTGTAAAGTGTAATCTTATTTCTCTGAACATTTCATTGTTCATTTTGACACCAAATTGAGAGGAATTAAAACTAAAAAGTTAAGACTGGCCATGGAGTAAATTTTACTCTAATTTTGAGTGGGACAAAATGTTATTTGAAACAGAGATAAAATCAACTCTGCAAAACAGACACTCATTTTTTACTGTGTAGAGTCACGTGACCACAGCATCACCTGTTAACAGGAAGAACTCTCACAGAGGTTTTTTGGATAGTTTATCACACCACCCTGCCACATCCCTCGGGATGAATAAAGTACAATCAATCAATCAATCAATCAATCAATCAATCAATCAATCAATCAATCAATCAATCAATCAATCAATCAATCAATGAGTGAGTCAATCAACCAATCAATCAATCAATCAATCAATTAATCCCTTTCTTCTCTAGCTAATGCAGTGCCAGGTATTAATGTGACCGAGGATTAAGCAATATGTGGTCCAAAGTTTTTGGACTGTTCAAATTGAAACATATGACCTATTTGTTCAGATAAAGATAAACCAAATACAACATGATTTGGCTTCTATAAAGTGTGATATTATTTTCTGTTTTGGATGATCAGTAAAGCAGAGATACTGGAACCAGCACGTTCATCATGATTATTGTAACAGATGACAGTAAATGTTGGACTAAGTGAAGCTGGAAGATGTGATTCACCTCCAGAGATGGGCAGTAACTGTAAACCGATTACTTTTTTCAAGTAACAAGTAAAGTAAGGGATTATTATTGCAATAAAGGTAATTCGATTACTGTTACTTTCCAGTAAGCATGCTGCGTTACTGCATTGCTAAACTGTAATTTTGGCAGTCCCTCATTCCGTGTGCTTCATATTCCGGTTTGTCTGTCCTGTCTCGTCAGATAGATTCTGTTCGGCTGTGTTCCCCAGGTGTCTCACGACAATGATATTAGCATGTGTGACTTTCGTGGTAACAGACTTGTGCAGATCAACAATGGATTATATATCGAGTGCGGGAGAGAGTATGACTGTGCCGCCTTTAAAGCATGGAAGTACTGACCTTACTTTGAGTTTGTTTCATAAAAAGTGACAAAAACATTAGTGTCCGCTATACACTGAAAACTTCTTTCTACAGCGAAAAAAACCCATAAACTTCTGAGCAAGCACCAAGTACGCTGCCACGGGAATGTGAAATTCACAGAGAAACTCCCGGATCCTTCCACTAACATGACCGCTGCAGCACACCTGCACCAGGGCAAACCTCCGCCTACCTCACTCCTGCTATACAGGTGAAAATAGATTGAAGAGCAACAGGGCTTAGTGCCGCTGAGTCTTTGAATTTATTGATTTTCTGCTGTGTTTTACTTGCATCTATTTGAAAGAGTCAGTGTAAACGCAAAAAAACTGTTTTATTTTATATGCTGGAATGTGCAGAATATAGGTTTAAATGCTAAACAAATTTCTTCAAGTCAAAGACTTGCATTTAATTTAATTTTTGCTTGATGCATAAAGTTAAAAGATTAAAACTAATAAAGCAAGTTTTAAAAACAAACTTTTTCATTTGATTGCATTTTATATGATGGATTATTGCTTTATTACCTATTCAGCTTGTGTGTCATGTTTGTAAAAAGTAACTAACTAAGCAAATAATTACGTTTGAAAACAAGTAAGAGGATTACTTTTTTGGAACCGTAAGTAATTAGTTACTGATTTTTTTTTCACAGTCACATCATATTAATATAAAAATACAGAAAAAAAATTCAGGAAGGGGGCAAACACTTTTACACTTGTGATTTACCTTGAGGTCAGATCAAATTTCTAACTCTGTAACAGCGTGAGTCTGTGGACAGTAATGAAGCTTTTACACTGTCAGTCGGCTCCTCGGAATCATTTACTGTAGAATCACTGATTAAAGATCTGTAGAACTGATCAATAATGTCTTGATACATGCTCAGTCATCCAGGTAAGAAAATCTCAAAAAGTTGATTCTGTTCATCTGGATGTGACGTTTTCAGTGGGAGAAAGATTTCATCACTCATCCATGTAATTTATTCAGTCTCAGCTGACTGCAGGTTCATTAACAGCTTAATTGACGTCCACAGGCTCATGCAGTTCCAGAGTTAGAGATGTGGTTCTGACCTCAGAGTAATTCACCATAATCAATCATGAAAATACTGTTGATGTGTTTATCACACTTAAATGTTTCAGGTCTTCAAAGAAATTGAAGCTTTACTTTGTCTAACACGTACTGTCATCAATAATGATACTGTATGTAGCGGAGATGGCAATAAAGTTTACTTTGACTAATGAACATGATGAACCTGCTGGTTGCAGTATATTTGCTTAACGATAGATAATATCACACTTTATAAAAGCCAAATCTTGGTGTTCATCTGAACAACAGACTGGACTGGACTCATAACTCAGACGCCCTCTACAGGAAAGGGCAGAGCAGGCTGTACCTGCTGCGGAGACTCAGGTCGTTTGGAGTGGAGGGCCCACTCCTGAAAACCTTCTATGACTCTGTGGTGGCTTCTGCTATCTTTTATGGCGTGGTCTTCTGGGGCGGCAGCATCTCTGCTGGGGACAGGAAGAGACTGAACAGGGTGATCCGAAGGGCCAGCTCTGTTCTTGGATGCCCTCTGGACCCAGTGGAGGTGGTGAGTGACAGGAGAATGGTGGCTAAGCTGTCATCCCTGTTGGACAACGTCTCCCACCCCATGCAGCAGACTGTGACAGCACTGAGCAGCTCCTTCAGTGGGAGAATGCGGCACCCACGGTGTGGGACGGAGAGATTTCGCAGGTCTTTCCTCCCCACTGCTGTCAGACTCCATAATAAAAACTCTAACTGATCAAACACACACATCCATACATATGCAATGATACTAAGTGCAATAATCCTTTCTGTCATCGTTGTATTTTTACTCAGTTGTATATAGCATTTGTATTTGTATTCTATTTTTATCTTATTGTATATTTATTTTATTTTATTCTACTGTATATAGTATTTTATTTTATTCTATTCTGTACAGCTGTGTACTGTATTTATTCTTATTGTATTCTAATTTTTGCGTCATAACTTTTGCACTGTCCACTTCCTGCTGTGACAAAACAAATTTCCCACGTGTGGGACTAATAAAGGTTATCTTATCTTATCTTATCTTATCATTTTGTATTTAGTTTATCTTTATCTGAACAAATAAGTCACAGTGTTTCCATCTGAACATCCTCAGTCCTCAGTCGCATTAATACCTAGGACTGCATTAGCTAGAGAAAAAAGGGGTGTGGCAGGGTGGGGTTATAAACTACAGAAGAAACCTTTCTGAGAGAGTTCTTCCTATTAACAGGTGATGCTGTGATCAAGTGACTATGTCATCTGGCTTTTAAAGCAGCTCTCAGTCAGACTGAGGCAGTTTGTTAAGAGCACTCAGGAACATGGCTTCATCTTTTCTCTGCTTCACCCTCCTCTTCATCAGCATCCGCACTGCAGGTATGATCAATGCACTGATCAACACACTATTACCAATTAATACATCCATCTTTGGTCTGTATATTGTTGATCAATACATGGTTCATTGATCAAAAGACTCATCAATACAACATACAGTTTATACTTTATCATCTATTATAGAGCAGGTATGATCAGTTCTCCACAGTCTGCACTTCACTGATGTTCTGTTTTGTTCTTCAGATGGATTTTTAGAGTATAGGGTGGAACGCTGTGAATTTAACTCCACTGCGCTGAAGCATATCGAGTACATCTACTCTCGCTATTACAAGAAGATAGAGTACATCAGGTTCAGCAGCAGTGTGGGGAAGTATGTTGGATTCACTGAGCATGGAGTGGAGCTGGCAATGCTCTGGAACAATGATACTGCACGGCTGAATTTAATGAGACGAATGGTAACGGAATATTGTTACCATAACATTGATGTTCATGATCGGGCTGTTCTAGCTAAGTCAGGTGAGTGTGTAGTTGTGCAACATCATCAGGGCATCATGTTCAGCCACACAGTGACCAACACTCTGAATCACTCAGTTTAATCCTTAAACTCCTGAAGGTTTAAATTTGTTTAGAAATTTGGAGTCTACTGGAGTTCTGTTTCTTTAAAATTCAAGAAACGAAGTTTTTTAACAATGAAAATTTTTTATTAAATTATTTCAGGATTAATTAAAACTTTAATTAGAAGTTAAAAAGTAGAAGATGATTTAACAAATATTTGTGTAAATACAGTTTGCATTGAATGCTGGTGGCAAAACTTGAGCTTCTTCAAATCCGATTTTTTTGTCTGCTTGTTCACACTACAAATAAAATGCGACAGCAAACGCTCTAGTGTGAACCCTCAAAGCGGCCCGCGTGTGCAAAAGAAGACGTCACACACAACGCGCTCTGTTTAGACTCAGAGCAAACAGTATTGTTTGACTGATGGCCCTTAATATAAAGACTTCGGACTTTACGTTTCCCAATTTTTGCTTTAAGTTATTTTGTTATTTACATAATAATGTAAATAACCTAATAATGATCCTTATTGCTGTTTTAGAGAGGAGCGGTGCTTCAAAGGATAGTTGCAGATTTCTGTTAGAATCTGCAGATTATACAGTACAAATAAAATGTTCATGTTTCTCCAACGCAGTCTTCCCAACAGTTTCACTGGATGGCCAGGAAGCATTTGCGATGTCTTCTCCGGCGCTATAATTGGCGTCTGTCTTGTGTCGGTGACGTAAAAGACAGATTTAATGCGACTTGACCATTCAAACAGCAGTCGCTTTCTAAAACATCAGATATGTATCGATTCAGTACCACATACGAAAGTGACCCAGATCGGATTTGAAAATATTGGATTTGTGCCGTTCACACTGTCATACCATGATCGGATATGGGTCGCATAGGGTCAAACAAATCGGATTTGATGCTCTTTCGCCTGCAGTGTGAACGTAGCCTATGTCACACTGACACTGTTAGTGTTAATTAATAATTGCAATTTGAAAAAAAAAGTGTCATTTTTTACCAAGATGTCCTTCAATGCACATATTAAACAAATATGTAGGACTGCTTTTTTCCATTTGTGCAACATCTCTAAAATTAGAAATATCCTGTCTCAGAGTGACGCTGAAAAACTAGTTCATTCGAGAGAGTGATATTACGCCCCTTATGTCAAACAGAGTGATTTATGACCCCAATAAATTATTCATGAGCTTAGGGTGTAATAAAGGAAGTAATAAAAATATGATATTAATAAAATTATGATATTATAAATTATTAATTAGAAAGAGAAAGCATGTTTCCCCTGTATTGGCTTCCCTTCAGTGGCTTCCTGTTAAATCCAGAATTTAATTTAAAATCCTGCTCCTTAATAATGAGACCTCATCTTATCTTATCATGCCATTAGGCAATTCACTCTCGCACTGCAGGCTTACTTGTCATTCCTAGAGTATTTAAAAGTAGAATGTGAGGGAGAGCCTTCAGTTTTCTCACCAAAACTCTTGCTCATAGGGGTCATATGATTGTTGCATTTTTTTATCTTATTTCCTTATATTAATGTAGGGATTTTACCTTACAATAGGCAACTGTTGTGATTTGAAGCAATATAAATAAAATTGATTTGAAATTTGCAATTCTAATTTATTTAATTACAAATAACCAAAATTATGCCATTATTCTGACAGCTAACACATTTTCTATAGGTAGATTACAGATGATTCTATTCCATTACACATAATATTGCCACAATGGAAATATAATATCTGTGTGGTTTTTAGTTCAGCCCAGTGTCAGAATTAAGTCCAAGACTCCGCTTTCTGGTCAACATCCTGCCATGTTGGTCTGCAGCGTCTACGACTTCTTTCCCAGTGAGATCAAAGTGAGCTGGCTCAGAGACGGACAGGAAGTCACCTCTGATGTCACTTCCACTAAGGAGATGGCAAATGGTGATTGGTACTACCAGACTCACTCCTACCTGGAGTACACACCCAGGTCAGTCCACATCAGATCCAGGTTCATTTCCAGATCCAGTTCTGTGAGTGGTTTGTGAATCAGTGGTCTTTGTGTTGAAGGTCTGGTGAGAACATCTCCTGTGTGGTGGAGCACGCCAGCCTGAAGGAACCTCTGATCACTGACTGGGGTAAATACCTGTCTTTATGTCCACAGAAATATGTATTTGACTGCTCACCTGTCTGTTTGACTGTTGGCCTCTGTCTGTCACCTGTCCAACTCAGAGCCGTCCTCGGACAAATCAACTCCTGAATCAACCATGCTGATTGCCATCGGAGCCTCTATACTGACCCTGGGTCTGATCTTACTTTTGGCTGGATGTTTTCTCTACAGGTGGAAAGCCGCAGGTTAGACCAGGACTCACACTCACAGACCAGTTGGCAAGCGTTTATGTCAGCCTTTTTGTTAGCCTGTTTATGTTCTATATTCACTTTCAGCTAGTGAATTTAATTTCTCACAAGTTTAGACAAGTTTTAAGTCCATATTTAGGCCCCAGTCTAATTTCACTGATGCGTTCAAATGTGATAGATCCCAGCTATCCCTGAATAAGAGGTCTGGATTGGCTCTCCATCTAAAGGGCCTGAGTCTGAGCTTTTATTACAATTTTTTATTCTAATATTGCATTGGAAGCTAAATTACCAATTAACACAATCACATGTGTATTTTTGAACTCTATATTTTATCTGCTGTCCTCTGATTAGATATTAGTCCCTTATTTAGACAACCTCAGCTGCTTCAGGCCTCAGGCATCTCCCTCTCAGACTTAAAGGATTTCACACCAGTTCAGACCCGTTTTTCCATGCATTTAAACTAGGGACTTCACTGAATCATTGTTGTTGATGTTTGATTGAGATCCGTTGTCCTCATGTGGATAAAGAGTGTCTTATTGACTCTGTCCTTATCTCTTTATCTAGATCATACTCTGTTTTTCAATTAATGAGGCAGGATCCTGATCCTAGTCCTGGCTCTTTCTGATGGAGTAAGAAGCAGCTGATTTGTGTGTTCAGCAGACTCATGATCTCTGGAATGGGCGACTCTGAACCTGATCCATGACCAAACTCATGTATAGATGTTTAATTAATGTCTTTGAACCACAATAAACATAACATTTCACCTGTGTGCTTACTTACATGCATCAACACTTTGATGTCACTGTACACTGTTTAAAACCCTTTAGTGTTCCGGTCAACCAATTGGTAGAGCACATTTTCAGGCCCTATATCTAACTGAGGCTTTCACTGAAATTGGCCTACCTTATTGAGTCTTTTCTACCAATTGGTTTACATCTGTAATGCCAAAAAAATCAGAAGGCACTGCAAATGGAAACTGTTGGCTCTTCTTATCCCTCTCCCAATAAAACTAAGGTAGGAAGATAACATTTTTTGATATATGATAGTGTTGGAGGACTTACTAAACAGATGTATGTCACTTGAATGTATTAAAAAAGTGAAATTAAATGTTTAATAATTTTTTAAAAAAGTGGTCAAACAAAAGCATCTTTATGGTGCTAATGCTAACATAACCTAAATGTTATTAAAATTGACTATTTGCCATAAAATCAGACCACTAGACCCATTTTGTTTATCCATTGCTATTGATAAATCACATTAAGTGTTAGCACAGCAAGAATATGCTGAAATAATTTCCTCAGTAAGTCATTTTTGTAACTTTCTGAGTTAATATTAATAAATATTGTAAAAATCAAGAATAACACGTGTAAATCATAAATATCACAACTGATTACCTTTTAATCAAATTACAGTAGCTGGTAAATTAATATTACTAAGTTGTTAAAATTATAATTTCATGTTTAACAAGTACTATATGGACACTAAACAATTATATGGCTCAAAATCACATGATCCTGTGGCATGATACTGATGATATCACCCACCTTCAACCACAGTGTGTTTGAGGTCATGGTTTCATATGAAGCAACAAGGGCTGGCACTCTCCACCAATATATTGCCAACAAATCAGATGAGTGTGGCTTTAAATTGGTCTGCCAAGCAAGTTCATCTGGCATCATCCACGACTTGCTGCTGTATCAAGGGGTCTACATTCTTCAATGCTCCACTGAGTGAAAAGGAACAGAAGCTACCTTTAAGGGGCCAAAGTTGTAAAAAAAACCACTATGCAAACCCATAAAAGAACCGCAGTTCTTCACAAGTTTCAGCTTGGTCCAGAACTTGCACACCTCCTTGGGTGTCAGGTGCATTGGTACTGTATGACCAAACTGCACCTGTGGAGCTCCCCTGATGGCAGACAAAGAACTAATGAAGAAGGGCCATGACGCCTGTTATTACAGGCTGATCAAGGTCTGATTGCAATGCAATGGTTTGACACAAAATGTGTCAACCTCCTAAACATCATTAGATCACCATTCCATGCCCATCACTCATCCGTGTATATAATTAGCATAAGGGAGGAATTAAAGTTTCTGATATGCTATTACACCTGTACAAGACAAGTTATAAGTTAAAAGTTCCACTGTTCAGATACATCCTTGACTTGAATACCTGGTCTACAAGAGGGACTGTGCCCTACTGGACCAGAAACCGATGGCTCTCAAAAGGTTTCCACCTGGCTGTGTCTGAACCAAGTTAACAAGCCAGCATCTAGAGTTGGACAACCATGATCCAGCTCTCCAAGACTACAGAATAAATGCTACACCCTAAGACCCCAACGACCAAAACCACAAGCAGATGTGCTTGATTTGCACTATTCTATTTTAAACACAAAACTCATTTTTGCACAGTAGCATTCAATCAGAAGTGGCCTGAATGTGAGTATTTTGTGCTGTAGCACATTTTTCACATTTGCAGATGAAAAAACTATGTATTTTGTTGTTTGATATAATACTTTCATTTGATGGAATGAAAACAGCAGTGTTCACTGGCATGCTACTAGAAATAAACTTTATCCAATGGCCTGGATAGTTTTGTTATTAATTTAATTATAATTTGGCACTTTATTTGATTTTTTCTCAACTGTATTATCTAATGTACTTGTATTTGCATGACATTTCATACTTTTACCATAGAGGGACATCTCAACTGTTTGGTAGAAATCAATATTTTAAAAACTAAAGGGTCTATTGAAAAAAAGAAATATTGATTGTGGTTATTAGTCACCCAAATCAATAAGAAATCGAAACAAAAACATTTCCATTGCTTTTTTCTTTGGTGAGGACCTCAAAGGGTTAAACACTGACCATGAAACCACTGTCCTGCAGCACGGAAAAGTGTTTTTCTAGAACACTCTTTTTTAATTTCTTAATGAACAAATAACTGTGCCAGAATTTAATTTAATTTTATTTTTTTTTGTTTTGCTGAGAAATCAAAGTGGTTGAGTAAGGTAAACCTGCCCAGGATAGAAGTGATGTTATTCTATTATTAAAAAAATATCTATATTTTTAACATTCATGAGTCTCATTTATTTTGGTTAGTTACATCACTGCTGACCCTCAAACCTAACATGAAAGAGCTTACCCAATGTTAGACCACTGCTGATAAATAAAACAGCCATTTGAACTCATAGTTACACCCAACAATATTATCTATTACTGCAGTTCCCAGTCAACATTGTAAATTTTAACATTCTCATTCTGGTTTGGTCAATAAAAACAAAATGCAATGATTTGTATTCAGGCAACAAAAGCTTGGAAAAGTCACTGTTATTAAAGTGAATCAGCTGGAGGAGCATTTAGAGGTTAATTGGCAGTAAGTCAGTAACATGACTGACATACTGAGTATAAAATGAGTACAATGAGTATGAGGATAAAACTGAGATCCTCCTTATCGGCACCAAATCCAACCTTTTGAAGGCAAACCATTTCTCACTCACCATCGATAACTCCACAGTTTTCCTTTCTCCTCAGGTTAAGAGCCTTGGTGTCATCCTAGACAGTTCACTTTCCTATAAATCTCACATCAATAATCTCACCCGTACTGCCTACTTCCATCTACGTAACATTAACAGATTGCTTCCTTCTCTTTCCACCCAGTCTATGTCCATTCTTGTACATAGTCTTGTTACCTCCCGTATTGACTACTGCAATTCTCTTCTGCATGGTCTCCCCCAAAAATCCCTCCATAAGCTTCAACTGGTTCAGAACTCTGCTGCTCGAATTATCACCAGAACCCCCTCCTACCAGCACATCACCCCTGTTCTTCAGGAACTTCACTGG